AACCAGATCAGAGCAGAGCTCCACTTCCACGAAGGGGGAACATGGCTCATCTCTTATCTTCTGCTCTGAATGATTGAAATTAAATAAAATCAGTACACTAAATCGGAATGGATGCTTTTCTCTGTCTTCAGTATTTCTTTTACTTGGATTAAAAAATTAAATACACAGAAGTGAGTGAGTGTTCCTCCTCCTGGAGTAGGTAGCATAACCTGGCTGAAAACAGATACCATGTTGCCTTTCGTGCTCTTTCATTAGCTCCAGTGCCTTTGCTACTGCAGTGAAATACAGAACTTTTACCGAGAATTAAGTAGAGAATAGTGAGACTGGTGAAAAACTTGATTTGTTTGTGATGAAATTACCTATATAAAATTGTCCGTACTGTAGATCTGAAGCAAGGTTGCAGTTATGCCTTTATGTAAACTGACTTAGGAATTTTGATGAAGTCATGCGGAGCTACAGGATCAAGTGCCTAAGTGTGCACAGCCTGCCTGTCCACCTGTTTGGTAACAGAAAATGCTACATCGAGTGTAATGGGTTATAATATTAATCTGTTTAACAGATTAACCACTCTAAATGCTTTTTGAAGAAGAATGAAAGTCTGTTTAAAAAAAATTTTAAAAAGCAAGGTGTTTTTCTGTTTGCTGATTAAAGGATTTGATAGCATGAATTAATTTAAATCAGGTATAGTCACTTTTCACTTAAAATCTGACAAGTAGTGGCTTTCGGAAACAGAGGGAAGAGTGGTTAGAGGTAATAAGATGTCTACTTTAACTGGAGAGGGAGATTGTAAGAGTAAACTGTGAAGTGTATGCTATACTTCAGTCCTACTTCAGTGCTGCTGTTTCAAATGATTATTTGTGTTTGCTTGGGCACTTCTCATTCTGCAGGGCATTGCGAAGGTGGTCAGTTTGAAAAGCTGAAACTGTTCACTCTTAGATAATTTTCCCTGAACTGCAATTTGTGTTTTGAATGTGTGGCTTTATTGAGTGTCAGTAAACTTGTGTGCTTGAAGTCAGAATTGTGTTTCAGAAGAAACACAAACGAGCTGGTGTAGTCATTGCTGGGTGTGTGTGGTGTCCAGGCAGGAGTGTCAGTGACACTTCAGTGCCTCTCTCAGCTGTTGAGTGTTACTTTAACTGCCTGTGCAGGTGCTGTGAGGCTTTCCAGCAAATAGTGCGGTATTACATGAGAATTTTAAAGCGATGTTGACATCGCTTCCATTCTGATTAGTTGGGAACCCTTCTGAACAGTTACTGATTTCTTAATCTTATTGTTTAATTACTTTTGTAATGTTCTGCTTTTGATCAGGCAGAAACAAATCTCTCTACTAGAAATGAATATGGGAGTGGAGGTCTTTGGCTTGTGTTTTATGACTCTGTAGCAGTTTCATGAAAAAAATGTGGTAAATAAGTGTTTGCCCTCTAACAAAATTAACATTCTGCTAAAACTAACGTAGTTCTTAAGTAGAGCTTTTTATGTCCTGCTAAGAGTTTCGATTAAGCAAGGTCATTGTTGGTCATCTGTGATAATGCTGTTTTCAGTGATAGCACTAAGATATAATTCGGTTCTGTGTGGTAACAGGAACTGAACAGTAGGATCTTTCAGACAGTAGATAGTGTTGGTTTTTAATGGGTGCTGAACTTCATAGAAGAAGGTGAACTGAATTTTGCATTCAAAAAGTGATTAATTTTCTTGGTGTGAAGAATGCAGTTTGTTCTATCTCCAAATAAATATATTTGTCCAAGGACTAAGTATATATTTGAAAGCTTTGTTACATATCTTAACAATTTAATTTTTAAAAAATCCTTAAAAATTGTCCTCTGTCAGAACTTCTTGGATTAAAATTATTTTTATTCATTCTGAAGAAAAGAGGTCTTCAGTGTAAAAAGGAATTTTTTTTATTTTTTTTTTTTAGATATGGTTTTCCATCATTTATTATCTTGACAGGATCCAGAAGTTATTAATGTTCTGGATATATAACAAGCTGCACTAAAAGGCTTTTGAAATTCACAGGTTTCCACAGTAAATTTAATCTGGTTTCTCCCATGTTGAGATAATAACTTGTGTTTGCTAAAGCATATCTTTTTAAAATATCACTTGAACACTAATAATTTTATGATCTCTGGCTAGCAGTGGTTTCTAAATAGTAAGATTAGAATTTCTTTTGTCCCTAATGCATTTGATTCAGGGACTAAACCCCGCCAGACACAGTACAGAGATGAACTGTTTAGCTTTCTCATCAGTCTTCTAAACTGTGTAACTTGTAACTTATATTATTTATTATCCACATTTTAACTGAGTTTAATGTTACTTTTGCTACTTGGCAAGAACAACTTGCTGAGCAGTTCTGTGTTTTCTATATTAGTGTCAACAATTTTACTGTTTCCATCTCATGAAAGATGAATACCATGTTATGGTTCTACATGTACACAAAAAAATTTTCTGTCTTTTGCCCTTGACTCTTCAGCCATGGTTTTCTTAGCATGCTCTTGCTTTTCTTTTTGTTATTGCAGCGTTTGGCTTCTGGTTATATATCAGTTTTGCTTTTCCTCTATTTTTTTGTAAATTTGTGTTCTTCCTCAAAATATTTTTCTGAAGTTTGGGGGGGGTGGGGGTGGATGGGTAGGTGTCTTACTATTTTGAAACAGATCTGTCTTGTCTTAATTGTTAGCCTGTGTTTTTTAGAATATTACCTACATGTTCTCACACACTTGCCATCTGTGACTTTTTAAGAGAAAAGTAGGAATTGTTTCTCTTAGTGGATTAGTCAGAATTGATTTCAGATAGATTTTTCTTAAAAAGCTAGTATGCATAAATATTAGTAGTCTTCATTTGCATAGTTATGCTTGTGCTATTTTATGAATAGCTACTATAAACACCACTGCAATCTAAGCCACCACTAATTTTAAATTCTATGATCAATTCCTATTATCAGTTTTGTGTCAAAATGGGCAAATTCCATGAGACTCTCAATTACAATGCTGTTACTTTCAAGTTGGAAAAATATTTAATCATTTTTAGAAATTCCAGAGATATTTTAGTGCTGGCAACCTAAGTCTTAGAGCCTATGTAATGCTGTTATGATGGTGCATCTTTGCTTACAGTGCTTTATAAATGGTTGTGTAAGGAACTGGTCATTTCTTTGCTAATGTAATTCTTCAGTAGATAGTGACTACTCTGCATCAGCTTCTGCTTTGTGAGTTAGAGTACTATGTTATAAAGAACCAAGAGAATACAGTTGTTGGTGTCTCCAAAATTAACTACTACTATTCTCCACATTTTGCTCATTCAGTCATTTGAGTAGTTAGTGATTTTTTAACATTTTAGTCATAGTATTAATACTAGATCATTTGTACACTTATAAATAAGCAAAATTGATTATTAGTTTAAAATTAATCTTATTATAACTTAACTATGTTTTTAGAGAGATTACTTTTTCTGTTGGGATGGAAAGGAACCAAACTAGACTGGTCTTGTTCCAAAGGGAGAATAGTGCTTCATTAAATGCTTCTGCTTCATATCCTTTTTATTGATTTGGGGTGATGGGGAGGGAGATTAATTGAAAGAACTTGGTCACCTTTTTCCTGATAGTGATAGAGGAAGGTTACTGGAGACCATTTGGATGGTTTTCTTTGTCTATTTTTCAGATTTTTCTGTAAAGTTTATGGAAGACAGTTGCTGTAAGTGCAACCCTTGTCTTTCTGTGTCCAGTTGTTGCCCACTGGTGTCTTTGTGGTAATCCAAAGGGGTCTTATTTGTTTATTTTCATTTATGCAAGACAGGAAGAACAACTTTTCAGGAAGATTCTTTTATTGGGGGAAACGTAAGACTCCCAAGAGTCGCTTTCTTCCTTCCCTTTCTGCCAAGTGGATCTAATCTTGCTGTATATGCCAAGTTTCTGGAGTAGCTGTTTTGCAGGATTTGGCAAAGCGTTTGTGAAACTGTCCTCCAGCTGTAGTCTGGAGGTGCAGCAGTAAGCTCCCCATGGGAAATACTGAGTTTTTATTAGTTGCTTTTCGGTACTCTGTTTCAATAACCATTTTCCTGTGTCCGAGGCTACTGCCATGCAGAGCTAACACCATATACTAGCGGATGTGAATTCATTGGGAAAATGTTAATTACAGCTAATTACAGTTAATTCTGTCTTACTTACATTATTGCAGTTACCTGTCTAGGTAGTCTTAATGGGAAAATGCAACAATTGCAAAAAATTTAGTAGGCCAGTGTAAATTAACTTTGTGTCAGCACTGCATGTTCTTGATTAGAGAGATGGCTACTGCAGCTGCAATCAGTAACTGTTTTCTGTCTTACAGTGATGTTGCGTAAAACACTCGGTGCATGCAAAAACTTAAGCAGATAAACCTTGGTTTTAGATAAATGGGGTTTGGTATATTATTTTTTCTCCTTTTTTCTAACTTATTAATTTAAATACAATTAGTGAGCATGCTGACAAGTAAAATTAACTCTGTTACATGTAGCTCATTCTTCCTTTCTAGATTTCTGTCTTAATTCGAGTACATTGCTTTTATTTTTAACAATTCAGAAATTCAGCTGGAGTGATTACTAAAAATAGTAATGTATGTAACAAGGCATTTCCTTTTCCTGGGAAACTGCGTGATTCCCTTGCAAAATCAGAAAACTACATCTGTTTGAAGCACTGCAATTGGCAGATGGCGTGGGGGGAGGGAAGAAGAGAGGACGAAGGATTTGGGGGAATGTAGTCTTAAAAAAAAAAAGAGGAGATGTCTGATTTCTTTGCATGATCTGGTGCATTTATAACACAAAATTTGTTCAAGGAATTGTTTTGAAACTTCTGAAATGTTACTTCTGTGCAAGTTGGAAACTGTCTTACAGCAGCAGTATTTATTAAATTGATGGCTGTTTAGAAAATGGGATCTCTAACAATACCACTTTATTTTCCTTACTGATTTTCTTTCAATTGTATCATGTTTGGAAGAGGATGGTAAAGTACTAAAAATGTTTTCTGCTACCTTTCTTAGGTTTTCAGTACTTACTCAAATGAAGACTATGATAGACGTAATGAAGAAGTTGACCCTGTGGCAGCCTCAGCTGAGTATGAACTTGAGAAAAGGGTGGAAAAAATGGAAGTGTTTCCTGTGGAAATTGAAAAAGGTGCAAATCAAACCTTGAACATTTGCAAGAGATACTATACGCACAAAAGATAAAACAAACTGAAACTATTTTCCCTGAATTTAGGTCTTGAATTTTTGAATTTTTGTTCTGGCTTTCATTTGTGGCTGGTTCTGCTGAAGTTAGTGAATGGACAGGCCTGTACTAAGTGCAAATTATTCTACTTAATTGAAGTTAAGGAGGCTACATTACTGCACCAAAATATATACAACTCATAAATCTTGCCATCTCCTCCAGATACTGTGAAGCTTTGAATCTAACAGGCAGTCATTACTACAGAACAAAAAGGCTTTGAGTAATATCTAGATAGAAAATATGTTGTCTTGGGTTGTTTTTTTGTGCTTTTTTTTAAAGTAAATTTTTATATCTTTTGTGTGGAAGGACTCAGAACACTTTGAAACAGCTCGCTACTGCTAAGTGTTACATCTTGTGTTATGCAGCTAATGCTAGATTTTTGAATCCTTTAGGTGACAGTGGTCTGGGAATCAGTATTATTGGAATGGGAGTTGGTGCTGATCAGGGACTGGAAAAACTAGGTATTTTTGTAAAAACAATAACAGATGGTGGAGCTGCTCAGAGAGATGGACGGTGAGTTTTTTGTTGAATTGATTATGTTTTTTATAGATTTCTAACTAAGCCCAGTCATTTTCATTGGATATGCTAAATACTGTGAACAAAAGTACAAAAGCTAAATGCAGCTGAAGAAATACTACGTTCCTGCTTTATGTTAATTTTTTTTAAAATAGGGGTTTTATTTAATATAAGTCATTTCTGCAAAATAAGTGTAGATCTGCTTACAGCATATGTGGGAAAAACTTAGCATGTTCCCATGTGTAAAAGTGTCACAAAATCGTCTTGACACCCCAGGAAACCAATCACTGTGTAAATAGTATAACAAATATCAAGACAAATACTGCACAAGTTTTAATTGCTGATTTGCATAGTAACTGAGGATCAGGAGATTGTTTCTAAGCAATTAATTTCTTGGGACTCAGAATTTCTTATTATAAATACTGTTGAGTTTTGAGTGATGCTTGTCCTGTCAAAAATCCATCAAGCCAAAATACTTTTGTTGAACTGACAGCTAAGCATTTATTTATTTTGCAGAATTCAAGTAAATGATCAGATTGTTGAGGTTGATGGCATAAGTCTAGTGGGAGTTACTCAGTTCTTTGCAGCCACTGTATTAAAAAACACCAAAGGCACAGTGAGGTACGTATGTTTCCTATGAAATAATACTTTTTTTTTGGCCATTTTTCATTAATGGAGAATACAAAGCCATAATTGAAAGTTTTGCAAAGATGTTGAAGGCAACTGTATGGCAAACTAATTTCTTTAAGCATATCTTGAGTTTTTTGCTGTGTGGTTAATTTGTTTTTCTTCTGTAGGTTTCTGATTGGGAGAGAGAAGCCAGGGACTCAGAGTGAGGTAGCCCGCCTCATTAGTGAGACCTTAGAGCAAGAGAGATGTCTGTATGAGCAGCACTATGTTCATGATGATACAGAGCAGGTAAGAAATTGTATATACATATTTTATAAAGTACCTGATTACCACTACATGCAGTAAATTCTACAAATGGTATAAATGTTTTCTGAATTACATAAATTTTTTAATTTGATTAATTTTTTTAAAGCAAAAAAAGGATAAAGCAGGCAACTTGTTAAAAACAGGAAATAAGAACTTTCATACATTGCTATTATCAAGGCACATGATTATCACTGCTTGCTATGCTTTCAGTTTATCAGTAATCCAAAAGATACTTTTTAAGTATCAGTTGTGTGTGATTGTTTTGTCCCTGGCTTACTTAGCTCTCATTTGTGAAACTTTGATGAAGGTGTTTGCAAGTCATCTTTAAATCTTACCATAGGTATAAGAAAGTAAAAGAATAGTAGTTTGTTGAGAAAAGTTTTGCAAGTGTTTGAATTCCGTGATTGTGTGCTTTTGTTTGTTGCTACTACTATAATGCAAAGTGTGTGTGTTACAGAATGTCATGGTTTTCCCATTTTGTCAGGATGATGACTATGATGATGATGACGATACGTATGAGTCACACTTACATGGAAAATCTGTAGAAGTTTTTGATCTTCCTGAAAATGAAGATATCTGTTTACCACTGGATATGGATTCAGCACAGTCTCTTCTTAAATTTAAAGAGGTGTGGTAGCAGTTTCTTAAATATTCTTTATGATGCACTGGAGAGCATCGGAACCTTGTAAGAGTTAGATATAATCTCCTTTATGTCCCCCTCGTTGTGGTTTTGGGTTTGTTTTCCCAACATTGCCAATAAATCTCTGGTAAATGTCCCTTGAAATGTAGGTCTTCTGCAACTTTCTAATCCCAGCTTCCTTATACATATTTATATTAAATAGTCCTTTGATTTAAATTAAATTTTAAAAAGCCCTTGGAAACAGACATTAGAACCCAATACCACCTCCCTCCTTGTTGTGATGTCTGAACAGTACATTAAAAAGATATGGTACTTCTCTTAGTTCTTCTTTGGCCTATTGGACTTTGCATTTATTTGCTGTGTAGTATAACAGCTTTAGTTTTGGGGGAAGAGGGAGCATGGTGTGACAAGAATGCCTGTTCTGAATGGTCTCAGGTGTTGTGGTTAGGTGTTCTTCAGGAAGACAGGAAAAACATATCTTATCTCTTGCTCTAGTTTCTGAGAAATCTCTGTATACATAATAGCACTTCATTCTGTAGATGGGCATGTTTTTGAATTGGAGGGTTTTTTCAGGTGATCCCTTCTGGGGTTTTTTATGGTGTATTTTTTGGAACTACTGAATTTATAAACCCCATAGGACGTTCCAGACTGAATCCCCACTTAACATAGTTGGAAAGTTGGATTCCAGTTTCCTGAGGTTTTTATAAAGGACCATATTTGCTTTATTCAGATTTGTGGAACTGGAACTTAGTCGAGGATTTAAGTAGTACAGTCTTTGGCACTTAGGGGTCTGATAGATTTAAGTCCCTGTTATTTTCACTTTGGAGAAGAAAAATATACTGAAAGGAAACTTTTGTCAGGAGCAGTATTTTGCAGACCTCCTTAAATTTGCTCCCTTGATAACATTGATGACTTTTTGAGGAAGTTGAAATTTCAGGCTGCTGATCACTAGAGAACGTCTATAGTTTTTCTGGGTTAGGAAGCATAGCAGCAAGCTACAGCATCTTTTCAGAAGTGCTATATTTACTTGGGATACAATTAAATTCTCAGCTAGAATCATTGCTATGCTGTTATTAACATAATCTAAAGAAAAGGTAGTCATGGATTAATTTGGTTTAATGTGTGTTTGGTGCACTATGCCTTGCCAAAAAAAAAAAAAAAAATCCCCTCTGGATTGCAGATGGAAAGGAGATACAAGAAACAACTAATGGTTGTTTAAAAAAAAAAAAAAAAAGTGCTTTTGTACACATATGTGTGCTGTTTTCTTAAGACATTGTAACCATATTCTTTACATTTGGCTTAGGTGTAGCCTTTATCCATTTCTAATAATCCTATAAAGATTTGTGGTGTAAAGTACAAGGCTTTACTTGAAAACAAAGCCAGCATGTTTATTTGCAAGTGCGGATAAATAAAAATATTTAGTACTGTTAATTCTGTATTTGATTCTCTATACCAGTTGTCACCATAAATGCATTGCTGCCTTTTCATTTTCCTGGAACACTGAACCACTATATTAACCTCCTCACTTTTCTTAATGTGTAGGCAACAATGTGGGACTTCTAACTATAGATGATCATGAATTGATTTTTGTAGCAAATAGAATACCATGGAACTTTCTTTGGGTTTAATTTGAGTTCAACTTTTTTTTTTAATGAAAAGCTCATGATCACTTCTCTAATTGACAAATAAGTAAGTTGACTTTATGCTACTATAAAAATGGTTTGAGGGAGAAGGGAATCATGACCAAATACTTAAATCTAGCATTTCAAGTGTCATTTTGTGTGCTCACAATTTTTTGTTTCTTTCAGCTACAATTAAAACATGCAGTCACAACAGCTGAAGTGAATCAACTGAAGGAGAAAGTAAGTTATCAGAGAATCTTATTATTTGGTGGTGGAGTTTGGTTTGTTGTGGGTTTTTATTTCTAACTATGAATTTTACCAAGAATAGGCTGAATGCAGAAGGCAGCAATCACTTTTAGGCCTCAGGCTCTAAGTAGTCTGTGTTATGCTAGACTGGGATTTCTACACTGAGGAGCTGTGCTCAAATTACAAAAAAAACACAAACCCAAACAAACCACACAAAAACCAAAACCACAAAAAACAAACCTACCAAACAAAAAAACCCAACTGCAATATCCCCTCGGTGCCATTATAAAATTAATGCTTCAGTATTACTGCTTAGAGTAGAACTGAATGTAGGGAAGTACTGTATGAAACATTCTCCCAAACAAATAGGAGAATATTTTCTGTGGATAGAACTTGTCTTATTTCAGTATAGATTTGGCTGACTTTCTGTTACTAGAAAGTTATTTTTGTTACCTGGTTTCCCCTCTTTCCCTCCTCAAAATTCTGACTGCACTGGAGAGAGAGCTTCTTCCAGCTTTTTTTCTTTTTGGTGAGGACTGGTTCAGCACCTCTGCTTTCTCTGCAGAAGGGTTTCTTGTTCTTTTTGCTGCTTTTTCCATTATTGGAGATCTGTGCATGGCCTTTTTTTGGAAATGTTTGTTGTAGGTGAACAGATTTTTATTCCATTGCTCTTCTGTGCTGCCTTGCTGAGAAATGTGTACCCTAGTCCAAGTTGCAGCATGCTGCTGGGGGCAGTTAGCAAGTGGGGAGGGGAAGTGTAGAAAGACAAGGCAGCCCAAGCTGCCTCATGTTAGTTCTGATTTGATTTCTGACAGTGTTCCTGCTCCTTGTAGTATTATTGAAATTTGGCCCAACTGGATTAATAAAATGCTGATATTAAAAATGTTGGTATTAGCACAACTTACTGCCCCATTTTTAATTCAAGAAATTCTTGGTCCTTTCAACATCTCTGTTCCATCAGCAGGTGATCTTAACTGGTTTTAAAAGCAGTGATTTTCTCATTGTAAATGGTGTCCCCAGAGGAGGCATGGGCAAACTAAGCTATATCCTGCCTGCTCACTCCTCCAAGGCCTGGAGAACTTCACCTGTTAACATTCCCTTTTATAACGTGGCTTCGGTCAAGCTGAAGCGGCCCCATCCCTTTCCTTTGTTAAGAGAATGTTTGGTGTCTTTATACATTAGCCCTAGGAAAACGAACCATGGGTATATCATCATTTATTAGGAAGACCAGTGTCTTATAAAGTATCAGGGAAGGTGAACTGGTCTCATTAGCTTTATTCAAAAAGCTGTTGGTAAGAAAGCAGTAGGGTGGGGAGCTTGTCTTATACAAGTTAAGCTACTTCTATCTCCAGTTGCCTTTGAAATTAATCAAAATAGGCCTCTCCAGAGGTATTAAGAGATGTTGAGATCTTGAACAAGTCAACATAAGCTAATAATAAAGGTATTTTCATTTTATGTCTTTAAAAAGAAGCAGTAGTAATGAGGAAGTAGCGAAAGACTCTTGGGTTTGAATTCTAAACTTTCTTGGATTAGCAAGGATTGGGAGAGTTGATATAATTTCTTTAGAAGTTCAGTGTCTTATTTTAATATTACTGGTAAGTATTTAATTGTTATTAGCTATTCTCGACTTAAATGTGTATAAACAACTGTTTTATTATTTCGTCTTTAGATTAATTTCTTAAATATTAATCTTTTCAGTTAAAAGTTGTTGAAGCAGAAAAAAATGAATGGAAACTGAATCGAGCCCAGCTTCAGCAAAATTTAGACGAAAGCAAAGAGAAAATTAAGAAGTTAGAGACCTACTGGTTAGAAGCACAGAGTTTGTGCAAAACAGTAAATGAGCATCTTAAAGAAACTCAAGAACAATGTGATGCCCTTGAAAAGAAATACAGCAAGGCCAAGAAATTGCTTAAAGATTACCAACAAAAGTAAGTACCCCAAAATACCAGGTCTTTTTCTTGCTTGTATGTTTTGTACATTATGGGAAAAAGTGACAGCAATACCTAGGTTTAGGATTTGCTTAACACACTTCCTTTTCATTTGTCAGAGTTTAGGGAAGCAGTGGGCTATACATGCTAAATTCTTCCATACCTTAAAGTCACTAGTTTCTGGGAAAGCTCCCCAAAGATTTTGCTGCTCATTTTGATTCTAAGCTTAGGAAAAATAATTTGACATTTCAATAAGAATTTTTAAAACAAATTAGTTGAGAAACTGTAATGCATCTGTACTTTTGGAAGGACTACTTGAAATTTGGCGTGAAGTATTTGGCAATACCTTTTTCTGTTTATGGAAAACCTTCTAGCTGTGACTAACTTAAATGTTCCAGATAGGGTAGGCATCAAAGGGTATCTTATTGTAAGAGCCAGATACATGTCATTCAGAGTTAGGTGTTATATTTTGTAGGGGGAGTAAAAGGAATTCTAAGAAAATTAAGAGTTTGGGATATGCATCTAGTCCATCAAAATGACAGCATAAAACCAGTATCTGCAATCTGTTAACAGATTCGGGGCTTTCAGTAATGTTGCTTATTAAATACACCTGTGTAAGACTGGAATGCTGTTGTCATGCCGTTGTGTCTATTTGTTCTACCTTCTTTTCTCTTAGCTAAATGAGATTGCAAAATACTTAAAGTGTCTTGATAATACAGAACACAACTGTTGCTTTTGATAGTTACTGTAAGCATATTGTCCCCAGTTTTTCCACTTGCTATTTAATTTTAAAGGCAGTTTGCATGATCTTCTGCTCTGTAGTCCACATCCAGAAATGTTACTTTTCACAGTGCATTTCTGTGCTGTTTGAAGAGCTTTTTAAAAGTCTCTGTTCCCCTCTCCTCCCAAGTGTATCTGCATGGAAGTTTCAAAGCACGTTGACTGCTAATGTGCTAGTTCCCATTTCCTTGCCATTTGTCAATTCCCATTACTCCTTTGACTGTCCCTGAAGCTTTCGCATTTTGTGTAGATGATCTACACTTATGTTCTGGTTTTGTATGTTATTACATCTGACTTCCAGGAAAAAGCAGCTTTTATTTTTGTTTCTTTCTTATAATTACTGGTGGTTTTTTGTAAAAGCCATTGCAATTTCTGTAGGGTGAACCAAGTAGAAACTTGAAATACAATTTATTTTCCTACAGAGAATTTTACCATAGCTTTTGGAAAGAAAATACTGTGTGTGCGGGTATCTTTGTGGAAGAGAATAACATATAACGATTGGAGTCGTGCAGACATTTCACTCTTTTTAAACATATGCAACTTGCCACTTTTAAAAGTAGAGAGATGGTTGTAACTTTGTAGAAAAAGTGTATCAACACATCCTTTTTCAGCCTAGAGTAAATGATAGTGTCATATGTATTTTCTTTTGAAGACAGTAGAAGCATCACAAATACATAGGTCGTTTTGTGAGGTTACAAGATTAATGAATCAGCTATACCTTACAGACTGATTATTTTCAATGTTTCCTAACAGAATGCTTTTTACTAAATGCATCTATGTATATTTAATCTATTTTTCTACATTTGTATGTATGATTGTTTCATATATATGTATATATTTCTTTCACCAGAGAAATAGAATTTATGAAAAAAGAAGAGGATCATTCAAGGCTGCTTGAAGAGAGAGACCAGAAATATGCAGAACAGCTGAAAATATATCAGGAAAAAGTAAAGCAGTATTATATTTTGAAATAAACTTCTACATTCTTGGAGAGTTGTATCTTACTTCTGAAATTTAATTCTTGCAGATTTCAGAGCTTGAAAGTAAATTAAAAGTATATGAGAGAATACCATATGTGTTCGGAGGTGGCAGCTTATTGGAAGATGGCTGTCAAAGTCCAGGCCAATATAATGAACAGTCAAAGATGAGAGAAGAAAATGAAAAAGAAACAGAATCAATAGAAGAAAGAATAAATTCTTCAGATATGTTGATTTCTGGTAAGTAGATGGTAGGATCTTTGATTTGTATTTAACAAAAATTACGAGATAGTAGTATAGTGTTTTTTTGTTGTTAAAAGAAGTTAAGTGTTTGCTATTTCCTACTGACTGGGTTAATGTTTGACCTGAACCAGCATGGATATTTTTGTTTTAAGTCTCCCAACATTTCCGGTATTGTAGTAATGTATTTTTTAAATGCTGGGGGAAAGAGGTAAATGGAGGGAGACCTTCTTCACTGTTCCTCTGATTCTCTATTGGTGGGACTAAAACACTGAGATATATCTGTTATAATCCCATTGGGTTTGAAGCTATGATTTACACTAAAACTTGCTGTGATTTGGTTTTGGGTTTGGGGGTTTTTTTTTTTTTGATCATGTAATTTTATGCCCGGTATGTTAATACAATATCAGATGGTGACAAAGGAGAAGCATATTTTAAAAAGATTTGGTAGATGCTTATGTACTTTGTAAAGACTTTTAATCTTAAAGAACAAGGTTAGGAAAGTACATTTTGGGCACAAATTCTCATCTGTTTGAGAATAAAATTCCGTTTTCAAGCCATAATAGAACTACGTCCTGATGGATTATTTTTTTTAAATTAAAAAATTAGGTAGAAATCTCTTTTAAATAATTAGAAATTGCAATCACAGTATGTTAAATTATTGTTGTATTACATAAAATAATATTTAACTTCTGAATGTTTTTCTGGACAGTGGGTTGGAGAACTTGCCTACCAAGTTTTGGTGGTTTTGTTGTTTGGTTTTGGTTGGTTTGTTGTTTTGTTTTTTTTTTTAAGTAGTACATATTTGTTGCAGATTTTGATGCGTTTGTTGGGGATACTCCCAGATTAGATACCAGTGCCCACAAAGCAAAAGCTCAGCTTGCTCTGAAAGTAAAACGCCAGCCACCTTCTCGATCAAAGCTGAAAGAATCGCTTGGGGCTGGACAACAGACTGCAAATCTACAGGTACCAATATTTATAGATAATCATGCATTCAGGAGCCTGAATGTATGTTTAGTTTTATCTGTATTTGCAATTGTAAGTGTTGTCCATGCTGCATTCAGACTGTGCCAAAGCATCATATTTTTATGCTGTATCAAGCGAAAAGCCCTGTTCAGGTTCATACCACATACGTGATCTCTGACATATTCTTTGTGGCAGAGTTAATTAATTAAGTTAGTAAAGAAGTATGCAAGTTGTATTGTACAGCATGATGTATTGCATGTTGTATTCTACTTCTGCTTACTGAAAGATTTTGATATAGTGACAGTGGTATGTTGTGAAATATGTTTATCTTACAATTCCTTTATCTGAAACTAGTTAGTTATCAAATTTCTTCAAAAACTGAGTACTTCTGAAATGCTTCATTATTCCATAAATAATCATTTAAGTCCACAAAACGTATACAAGTGAAATGTTCTAGCACATTTCTGGAAAACAGTTAAAGAATTAAGGTGTATCTAGTTGGTGTGTGAGACCACCTGTCGTAGAGGGGGGAGACTGGACTACTTCAGTTAGACTGAAAAGTGGTTGCATTGAATTGGAACGGCCAAGATGTACTGGAATATTTCTGGCTGGGCTAGAGGAAGATGCTTTGAGATGTGCAGAAAGATGTCTGTAGGGCTAGGTAACAGAAATCCTCTAAAACCAGCTTCATGTGATGTAAATAAATGGTAAGTGATTAAAAATTTCTGAACTGAGGGAGCTTGGGTGTAGCATAGCATATCCCTACATCCTGGTAAAAGATCAAATAGTAAATGATTATATGTTGTGCATATCATAAAATAAATTTTGAATTTGTTGAAGGATGAGGAATCAGAAGATACTGTTCTCAGCAGAGAACTTTCCACTGTGTACCTAACCAAGACCTTGGAAACAAGTGAAAAATTAACACTCCCACGCCTGGATGACATTGATCGAAAGAGTGAAAAGCCTGAACAAACAGAAAGCACAGAAAGTCCTCTAGAGTCAAGTCCTTCTGCTTCCACACACTCTTCTCCAGCACACAAACCAAACAATGAAAATAACACAACCACCACTTGTTCACCTCCTCCTGAAGAGATGGCTCCAAATTTTCCTCAAGGGTATCCCAAGAATGTTAAGCAAAAAGAAGCAAAAGGGAAAGGGAAAGAGGCCAAGGGTAAGACTTAAGGGTTTATTATTATTTTAATCCTTTGGGACTAAAGTATTACAGATTCTAGATATAAATTAATATTGAACAATAAATTACTCTGAGGGAAAATTAATTGACTACAAAACTAATTACATGTTCTAAAACCACTTGTTAACTCTTCAGGAAAGTTTGAAGTTAGCAAAAAAGTATGCAAGTTCATTGTATTCTATTTTTACTTAACTGAAAGATTTTGATACAACAGTAGTATGTTTTGAAATATGCTCATCTATCTTCTAATTCCTTCATCTGCAGCAAGTTAGTTACCATTTTTTTTACAAAAACTCAACAGTTCTAAAATAATTTATAGTGCCAAGAATCTAAAAGGTGCCTGCAAAATAGATGCTGTTTCAGTTAAACAGTTAAAGAAAGGAATAGGTCTAAGACAGTTTGGTAAAAGCTCAAACCTGTAAATTTGGAGAGTCTAAATGGTTGCCTTGACATAAACTTGAGGGGAGTCAAGTCATTGACTGTAGATAATCAGTAAAGATCCTAATGCATTTCTACAAAACAGTAGCCTCGTAAGTGGCAGTGTAGGGAAGAATAAATTTGACTGATTTCCCAATTTCCAGGAAAATTCAGTGTTGGCTTTGTGCTTCAAGGTGTTATCCAGGTCTTTAAACAAGATAGGGATCTTAAATGTTCTGGCCCTTTTAGACTGCTTCTCACTAGGAGAAGATTGCAGGTATTCTAATCAGCCTAATCACCACTAATCATTATTTGATAGAAGTATTTGGCGCTTTTTTTCTAAGGAATAGTTGAAAAAGAGGTCAGATAAAATATTTTAAATGCTTCATATTTTCTGTAGTCAGCTAGAACAATATATGAAGGCAGATTATACTTGTTGTCTTTTCCATACAGCTTGGACAAAACTTTTAATACCCTGAAAACAGGATTTTTTTTAATATTCTCATTCTGTGTGTTTGTATAGAGTCTTAAACAAAACTAATCTCTACTCCAGCTTCTGTTTGGTTCGTTTGTTTGTTTTTGCAGAAAAAATCTTATGAAAACAAGTACCTAATGTAAAAGTGATGTTGCTTTCTTTTCTACATCTTTTTTTTGTGACAGCTGAAGCATTGCAAACATTTTCTTAAAATTGTCAGTCACTGGAAGAGCTGATTAATGCAGTACATCAAAGATGAGGATTAGTATTGAAAGCTGAACCTTTGTAGGCAAAATGACACTAAGTACAAGATTGTTGCTTTCTAACCATATTTAAATGTCTACCTATTACTTCATTGAAAGAATCCTTTCTATTACCCTCCCATCCATTCATGTATTGGTCTGTATTTTAACTTCTTGTACTGCATTTTAGAAATTACCTCTCCTCTTAAAATATTACCTCTGGAGAGAGGGGTGTAAACAAATGTTGATATCAAAATTAATTCTTCTGGTTTAGTATTTAAGTTGACAGCAAAAATAACCAGTTTAACTGGTAGTTATAGTTGATTGGACGTTACATGTTTAGAAGGAGTGGTTAACTAATTAGATAAAGTCCTGATGTTGATCAGAAACTACTGATCAGATATGGGAAGAAAAAAAAAAAAAGGAAATCCCCTGACTGTTCATTATGTAAACTTTGAGATAACCATTATATGCTTCAGGAAGGATTATTAGCTGAAGGGGTGGTGGAGAGTTGTCCTCAGTTTTGTGCAGAAAACATGACTTTTTTTTTTTCTAATCCTTCAGGCAATCTGTGTACATTACTTCATGTCAGGAGTTGTCTTGAGGCAGAGCTTAAAACCTACTTTGCCTCACAAAAAGCAGGCTGCATCTCTTTCATAGCCAGCTTAGTTATGAAACACCTGATTTGCAATACAAAATATGTTTTAGTTATTTTAAAAAATAGCCTGATGGCCTGAGAATTTTAAAGGAAGTATGTTCAGGACTTGCAGTAATCTGCCACAATCCATTGGGAAGAGGTAGTGTGTGAAACGTAAGTCTGTCACTTGATTTCACTCAGTAATTGTGCAGTTGGAATTGAACATGCTCCCTCTGGTGAAAACTTGGATCCTAGCAGGTTGTGTTGCAGTTTTGAAAACGCCATGGTCTTGGAGGAGCTGCAAAGTCCGAATTATTTCTTTAGGGTAGTCACAGCTTGTAACTCAACTTGTTAGGATCTGTCTGCTCTCTAGGTACTGCCTATCATGTTGGTTAGGCACACTTTCTGGAGCTAGCAGCTTGCATACACAGCCCATGTTCAAAGTAGCTAGCCTGGACTAACTACTGAACCAGAAAAAATGCAAAAGGAGTATCTTACAATACTTTAACTGTTATAAATGATAATTAAATCCTGTACTTGCTCAGCTGTTGATGTAAAACTGAGGTTTTATATAATTATATAAAAGTATATAAAAGCATCTTATACTGGTTATCTAGTTGATGTATTTTGAAGTTGACATTTTGCAAAAGGAGGAGGTACTTTTTTCTAAACCTAATTTAAACTATCTTTTGTTTTTAATTCATTGAAGCAAAAGTGTGGGTTTATTCTTCCTGTAGAAAGTATAAAATTACTGTTTTATCAAAAGCAGTATTTTTGATCAGTCATAAATAACTGTTCTGTTGCTATTTTTCAAGGGTACAGCACAGCCAGAATGATGAGAAGATGCCATAGAGAATAACTTATGTTGAATGGTTGAAGTATTTTTCAGCTAGTATTGTCATGTGTAAATGTGAATTTTTACACTGTTACTCAGGTCTTAGTATCTTTCTTACTTACAAACATCATCATAAGTTCTTGAAACTTGCAAGTATTTTTATAATAACTTTATTTTTCACCCCTCAATGAAAAGCAGAAGAAAAGAAAAATGAAGACAAGACAGTAGAAACAAGTGAAGGAACATCAGGAAAGTCCAGAAGGAGATTTCCAGATTTTGGGTAAGATTTTATTTGTGTTCACTTGGAAATAAATGATTTTCACTGTTACTTTTGGAGACTATTATGTTCCATAAATAAAAAAAAAAATGTTGAGGAAATCCAGTAATGCTACTTCATAGCTACAATGCTACTTCATGTTTCTACCACATTTTGATTTTATTTGTCTGTACTTCTTTCTCTCAAATAATTTCTCAGATTTCTTCAGTTTTTATCTGAATACCTGGTTTATCTATGAATTAAATTGCAAATCCATGCATAGTTTTATGCAAAAATATTGTTGGACCCTAGACTCTAATGTTATGTTCTGCTGGTGTTACAGTCTAAAATTAGATATGTCTTGCCTTAATTCCTTCTGCAGTAGATGTGTCGTTACATAGAGTTTTGCAATAGTAGCTGCTGAACTGTTCCTTGGAAGCGGGCAGCAGCGATGAGTGGATTTGTGAATTTCATTTAGATGAGATTGTGAACAGGCATTAAAAAAAAAAAAAAAAAGTGCAAGCTGCATATTATCTGGAAATGCAGTGTGGTAACTGAAGTCTGGGGATCTGGGAGAAGAGTTGATAGATTTTGCAATAAGCCTTGTTCCTTTGGAGCCAGGTATAAAGCTTGTTGAAGCCAGCTAACATCAGAGACTCAGACTGGTATGGCAACATGTGAGCGTTTATATAGCAATAAAATTGTGTTGTTGTTCTTGGTTGTATCCACTACATGCTAAGTTTCTTTGGGCATTTTCTCTGTTTATTCTGATTATATGTGGTCTTTGAAAAAGGTACATTCATAATTCTGTCAGGGTTCTTAAATAAAGTGACAGTACCTGTTGATTGCATGTATAATCTGCAAAATCACATTCTGTGTAACAACATAAATGTGGCTTTTTGTAACTGTTGAAATCAGTGTAGAAACTAGTTTTCTGGTTTAAAAAAAAAGTTGCACTGTATAATTGTAAATGCTTTATGAAAATGGTGTTTTTTCACTTCAGTGGATTACGGAAATCTGGTGGCAAGGGCAAGAAACAAGAAAATCTAAGAGGTTCTCTGGATAGCAGGTAGTCATTTTGTTTGTTTAATACATACATGCTGCATTCCTAAAATTTTTAACCTAAGAATTTCTTTAAAACTATCATTATTGTTTGACCTTAAAGTACATTCAAGTATAACAGTGGCAGAATTCTGTGAAGATTAGAAGCTCATCTTCACATCATTATATTAATCTCATGAAATAAGAAAAATGCATAATATAGAAGAGATAATAGAGTTACATTTTTAATGGTTCATAAGTTTAACATGTTGTACCATATCTTAAATATAAAAACTATATTTTGCTTAGGAAGATGAATGTTGAGTAAATTAGAAAATTATTTGAAATTATTAAATGGTTGGGTGAAATACTGCAAAAATTCTAAATTTGTGTTTAATAACTCAAATTATTTTGCATGGATATTTAAAGGCAAGTATCACTTTCATTTTAAATATCAATTTTGCTGTGAAACAGGTGAAAATGAGTGGTGTGTGTTTTGAGTTTGTTGTTTTGGGGGGGGATTCTGTGTTTGGGGGGCAGGGTGGAGTTTTTTGCTGCTGTTGCTTAAACAGAATTTAATCTTATTTCAGAGGTTCCCGAGAACTGTTGGATGACTCTGGCAACAATCTGTCTGCATCAGATTCAGATTCCCCTGTTCCTACTTGCATGCCTTTCTCTTGGTTTGGAGACAGCCACAAAGAGCCTCAGATTTCTAGTAACAGTCTGCATGTTACCCAGAGTGGGCAAGACAGTTGTGAACATGGTCAAGAGAAGAACAGAAGCAAGGTAAAGATGACTAATTTGTGCTTTGAATATTTAAGCATTGCATCTTGATAAAGTAAAAGCATCAATGTTTAGTATGTGGAAGCTTGATGACTTAGTCCTTGACCACAACACCTCTTACAAACATTGCTGCAGAAGTTTGAGACTTTACAGCCCTCACAAGCAGAAACCATGTGGGTGTTCCCATTCCCTCCTGTTCAGTTGAACCATCAGTGAAGGCTGTTCAGGCTGAAGTAGCATCTAAGGAACAATCATAGGGTATGTTTTCTCACTGATTTGTAATATTAAAAGTAGCACTAGCTTTAGGATAGTATAGTTTTAAAAGCCAAATTTGTTTCCCTAATGCAGTCTAATACTTAGAGGAAGTGTACATAAATAAGAGGTCAGCTTCCCAGGCAGTTGGCCAACCAGTTCTTACCATACTGGTATGTAGAGGTGGATCCAGACAGGTGGATGAAGATTGTATCTTGGTTTTCATTAACAAATTTAGTATTGAAAGCCAAGATACATCTGTATAACACTCTCTCTTCTAGGAAACTGCTTCTGAGTAACTGATAATGTCCTAAGCCCTTTTAACCAGACTCAAGAGTGAGGCTACACAGTTCAGTCTGTAACCATAAAGTTACTGTTTTTACAGTTAAACTATTTGAAAGAAATGGCTGTAAAAATAAGTTTAAGGTGTGTGCTGTCCAAATACTTTGTTAGAACCTACTTCAATGTAAGATTGTTAGTAACAATCATATTAACTTTCCTTCATTCTGGTTTCCTTGGGATTCTGTCAGATTCAAAATTGTAGCTATTTGAGTAACCTCATAAACTAGGTTTATTCTTGAGTTTCAGGTTCTTTGTTAACTCTGATTGTCAAAAATACCATTTACTATTTTCCTCTGTGTTATTAGAGAGAAATGAGTTACAAATCTAGAAGAGAAACTTGATCAGTTGTAGTCCATCAAGTCACTGATATTTTGCATAGATGGCAGATAACAAGTTGTCTTTCCATGTTTCCAGATGCTGATTGCACTAAAATGCTGTTATAGATTTTGGTTGGTTTTGGTTCTTTTTTTTAATTATCTTCTGTTCTCTTAGCTTACTGCTGTCACAGGGACTGTGAAGTCACACTGTCTGCATACATAGTTTGTACAAAAAAAAAAAAAAAAAAAAAAGTTTTAGAACCATACAATACCTTACTATAACACAGGAACTTAAAAGGAATAGGAACTTTTTAATCTCTGAAGTAGAACAACACTTCACAGGATACTATCCAGTGTGTGTCAGTCTTGTATATTTACAGCTCCTGCATAGTTTGTTTCTCTTGAAGCCTGCAGTGGCCAACAGATTTTTCTGTAAATAACTCAAGGATCCTGGGACTGAAAGATCCATGTTGGAGGGGATATACATACAGTCTAGTACAATTTTTGCTTAAGTAGGAGTGCATGGTTGATCTCTTAATAGGCTGTAGGAAAGCTATCAAGAGATGCTTTCTGCATAAACAAACATTCAGTGGTTTAGCTTTCAAAGTCATTGGTTCAGAAGAACCCATTCGTCCCCATTTCATTCCTCCTTCTGTCTGATCCAGATAATTTTTCTGAGCATATTAAAAGTCCCAATGCTGCATTTCTACTGTAGGCACCCATAATGTGCTTAAGCACTCCTGCATGGTGTTTATATATACACTTTTTTGGCAGTGAGAAAGGTGTAGATCTTACCAAATTGAGTGCTCTTTCTCTTTCCACGTTGTCCTGAAATAATAGCCTTTACTTCTCATCATTTTATACTTTCTCCAAGTTGATCATCACTTTAACCTTCCAGCTGGCTTCTTGTCTACTGCTTTATTTTTTTGGTCTCCTTCTCATGCTCCAGTATGTAATTGCTGCTTACTGCTCTTTTCTTTTCCTTAGTGCCAGTTGCAAACCAGCAGCTGGAAGAATATACATGTCCTCAGCTATATTCCTGCTTTGTAAAATGATAGAAAGCTGACCCTGTTAAAGAACAGATTCTCATACATTAATTGATCTTAAAATCATACTCAGCCTCTCCAAAGTCAGACTGTTTTTACTTTGCAACGTTTGGTGTCTTTTATGAAGATGGTAAGACAGTTGCTACTGCTTGGGATGACTGATCTTTCTAGATCTTAACCTGCAGCTGATCATTAAGTTCGCACTACAGTAACAAGGCTTTCACTGGTAAACCTCACTAAAACTGAGAAAAATGTGCTTGACCACTCAGCAGTGAGTCTTGTAACTAAAACGACATAACAGCAGGGACAAAATCATCTTCCCAGAATTTAAGGAAAGAATACTCCTTTTTGTTGATGTTAATTCCATACTATTTATTGCTTTTACATCAGCAGTATCCCATATGATCACATGAAAGCAATACTTAAGAGCAGGTAAAAGTAGAAACCCTAAAATAAAAACTTTGTCATGCAAAAATACCTAACTGTTGTACTGAGTCAATTTCTGTAGTTGTGTTTTAATGTTGATGGTGTAAGGAATGTAATTATATTTTAAGTATTTTCCGTTTCTGCAATATTTGCCTCTTAAAATTGCTGTGCCTAGAAAGATTTTGTTTTCTTAAAGTGATACTGAAGTTAGTCTTAAACAAAGAAATGAATCAACTTCTTGTTGCTTGTGAAAACTAGAAACACATGAACTAAAATCCTGTGATCTGAGTGTTTGCAGCCTGGTTAGCCATATGAGATTTTGAAATTACACAGTTCTTAAATTAGTCCCTTTACATAATCTGCCTCTTGATTTGGTCCCATTCTCTGATACAATACAAACATATATATACTGTTCATATTAATTATTTTTCCAGAGCATTATTTAGCTTCTGTAAGCTTGTACGCAGTGTTTCATTCTCATTGCAAGGAAGAACACTGTGGTTTAAACTATTTATATCCTAGTATCTTAAATTGTAGGAAGCATATTTATAAAATATCTTCTATCCAAACTCTGTGCTCTTAGAGAATCAAAAATCTTTGCAACTGGCTCTAAATCCTTAAAATTAAGTTACTACTATTTTAAACCAAATAGGAGCAGGGGGAGGAGAAAACATTACAACTAGTGCTGAGATGCTTTACTTTTGGCTATGTTTTCTTCATATTTTTTCTAAGGTCTCATTAAATATTTTGCTGAAATATCATCCTCTCTTTTTCTTGTACAATTTTGTTTCTGAATTTTTCTCAACTACTCTGCAGAGGTAGGAGGAGTGAATTGAGGATGGCTAAAACAAAAGCTTCAGTTTGGGTTGAAATTAATTTGAAAATAGGTTGATGGGCTAAGTATTCTGTTTCTGGTAATACTTTTTGTATCTAAAAGTCTAAGAAGTTCCTAAAATATAGTAATTAATAAATAATCTATGTGGTAAATAGAACACCATTTTTCAGTCGTGGGCAGTACCACACTCCATGAAAAGGTAGCGAAAAGGTAGCAGGAAAACTCGTGATTTGTAGGAGGTTTTGTGTGTTGGGTTGTGGTGGTGGCATTTTTTCTTTGTTTTGTTGGCTTTCTTTTTTCCTTTTTTTTTTTTTTTTTTTTTTTTTTAGGGCAAAGATCAAATATATGCCCCTAAAACAAAAATAGAATGATATAGAAAATTTAGAGTTCATGTTAAACTGAAATCAGAACACAAATTACAAAAGTGCTCAATGAAGACAACTGCAAAAACATAGTTCTCTTATAGAAGCAGAAGTTATTGACAAAAAATGTCTTTAATGTCAGCTTAATTTAGTATCTCAGATTATTTATGCATATAGGGATATAGTATGGTATCCTTACAAAGTATAATTAGTTGATTAGAGACTTACAGAAAATTATAGAAAATAATGGTAAATAATTACTTCCTGTTTGTAGGCAACAGGGTAGTACTGAGAAATTTTAAGAAGTCAAAAGTAGGAGGCATGCTTTTGGCAGAATTATTTCTCACTAAAGAAAAATAGCATAGAGGTCAGGATCTGAGTTGGAAATTGAGATAAGTTAGAAAATATTCTGGGAAACACATGCATTACTATTCTTCAGAAGGATTTTCTTATCAAACCTGCTGTGAAGTTTTGAGGTGTAGCATTTGATTTTCTCATGGTCCTCAGCTTCAGTCACACACTGCTCAGGTAACCTGCCTGAGGTTGTATGGGTACTGACTGCTGTCTCAGTTTGAACCTAGATCCTGCTGCTTTTAGATGCTAAGGCAGGCATGCAGATCCAAAACCTTCCTTAAAACACAGATTAGGTATAATAACTGAATGTAAACAGTAAATGCTATGAAGATTTTGCACTCTTTCAATATGATAGTTCTTACATTGGTCATATTTCTAACCTGAATTTTAATTTGTCACTTTTTAAAAAAAAATAGTTGTTATAATTTGTAAATTTATTAAAAGAATATATTTTTCCAAATCTTTAATTTCAGAAAAAAAATTCTATTTTGAAATTAGTTTATTCACAATATCAAACTGCTTAATTACTGTAGATTTACAGTGTTAAACCATTTTTTTGTAAAGACATACAAGTAGTTGTTTAACATCTAAAATGTTTGGCTTTGTTATAATGTTTTTACCCTATTTGGTACTTTAGTTATAAAAAAGATAACCTTGATAACAGTCCACTTATTATAAAAATTCTTCTAAAGATATGTGGTATTTTTCACATCAAGGTAATTTTCAGATGCCTGTGCCTCAAATGCAGCCACCTCAAAATTGAATCACAGAGTAGTTGGGGTTGGAAGGGACCTCTAAAGGTCATCTGGTCCAGCCCACCTCCAGTGAGCAGGGACACCTTCCACTAGACTAGGTTGCTCAGAGCCCTGTCCAACCTGACCTTGAAAGTTTCCAGGGATGGGGCATCTACCACCTTTCTAGGTAACCTGTTCCAGTGTTTCCCCACCCTCATCAGAGCTGTTAAAATGAACAGCAACACAGTACAGTATCTTAAATCAGAATTTAAAGTTCTGGGAGAGCTTGTCCTAAGGCAAGGTCTATATGCTCTATTCATGAACTAATTTAAACCTTGATCTGCAAGCTGTCAACAGCTGCTTGCTATTGCGATTCTTGATGTATGTCAGGCAAAGACAGCCTATTTGTTTCACTGTCGACTTCAGTGGTTCAGTAGTGGGCAGCTATGAAGTCTAAACCTAGTTCTCAATTTCAGTAACTCGTAAGTTATGGGCACTTCTGGACCATGAGAATCTTAATGACCATAAACAATTAGGACTGATTTTTTTATTTCACCAAAAGAACAGCACTTTCTAAAGCACATTCATAGTGCTTGTGTAGTTTTCAGTTGAATACAAACTCAGTATGACTAATTCCACCAAATAAATCTTAAATTGCTTCTTCCCAAGTGGGGTATGCTTGCTGAAAAAGTAACCACATGTATTTCCTTGTGTACTTTAACACTATTTCAGGTTATGACTGTCCACACAAGGTACTCTTACTGGGCATGTTGCTTTAAATTTGTTACTTTGTTTTTGAATTCAGAAGTTTAACAAAAACAAGTCAGATGCTTGATGTAGTGAGTGCATTTCATATGTGATCTAAAGATAACTGAGTCACAGTATTTTTTTTACCAAAAATCAAAATTACTGGAATGTCTCCTTATGACCTGCTTTTCCAAGGAGTGAGTTAATAAAACGTTATTTCCACTTGTTTGCAGAGTAGAATTGTCATAGATGATACATACCATAGCAAGCCAAGTTGTGAACTTTCAGGGTTAGTGACTGAACCAAATCTGTCAGGTCGTTCACACACTTTAACCTTCTCTTCAAATGAGGTGAGTTTCAAAGTGTGTATATGTGTCTTGTTGATGTTGTTGTTCACACTACAGCATGTTTAATAGAAACAGATTTGTGTGATGTGAAACTAGATGGCTGTTTCCATATTTGAATGTTGAAGAGCACTGTAAAGAATCGTAAGCTGTTACTGAACTAAGGACATGGACTAGTAGATGGTATATCAGTCTTTCTGTACTGATCCTAGTTATAAAAATTAGAATGAACTCTTTCTAATCAAATTGCAGGTTTATATTTTTAAATATAACACCCTTCTGTTCCACTAATTTAAAGCAATTTCCTGGGTGAATGAAAACTGCAGCATTTTTGACCTTGCTTTCACATTTTGTGCAGGTTTGTTTTACCATAAAACTTCCTCTAAATAAAAACAAACAACAGGAAAAAGAGGAGAAAAAACACAACAACTAAACAAACCAGAATATACTGGTTCTGATACATAGGTAGAAACCAGATACCTGAAAATCAGTGTTCATTCCCCTGGAGAACTAACTTCTTTGGCTACAGCTGAAACCTGAAGTCAACACTTTGGTAACATTCTGAGATACTGTCTCATTCGGTGTTTGACTGATGGTCGTCTTTATAAATTAAATCCTTTATAGACTAGAAGAAGTCATTAAAAGCTGTACACAGTCATCTTCCAGAATTGGAGAGCTTGGCAAAATGGTAGCGATAATGTTTGAAGAAAAAAATGAAATGATGGTTCATGAATGTGGGGGTTGGTTATTAGGTATCTTAAACCAGGCTTTGGTGAAATCTTCAAATATTCCAGTATTATGTAGAAAGTCAGAACAATCTTACAAACAGTGTTATAAATATGAAATCAAAAATTGTATAACTAGCTTACAGGTTTCAGTAATGGATAAATTTCTTGCAGATTTTTATCAGAGGTGACAATCATAGATCTAATGAAAACCAGAGGAACTCCATCATTGCAAGTGCTCCCTGCACTTTTTTGAATGAAATGGTTCAGGAATGGAATGTTTCTAAAACTTTCAAGCAGTATAAATCATAAGATTTTAACGAAACTAAATATCTTCTTGAATACTGTTCTTTGATAAGTGTTTCAACTTTCAGTAAACTTCTGGTTTTAAAACTCAAACGAAAGTTGTCTGTTACCAATTGTGCTTGTGTAAAGTCATGATTTAAGCCTCTTTTTTTGTTATAGATGAGTCTGATTCTAGCATTCTCTCTAGTTCATATGTTGCTTATGCACATAGCCAATGAAAGTTTTTTGTACATTTTGAGTAATTACATTGACTATCAGGGTTTGTTCTGAGGATAAATACACTTAGAGCTGGTTTCTCTTTTGGAGAGCAGTATGTGTGAAGAAAAATAGGTAGTTTTGTTCTTGTTTTTTTTTTATTAGTAATACAGTACATTGAAGTCTAGGGGAAAAAAAAAAAAGTAAGCATTCTTACAGCAATTTTGGATATTTCAAATCCTTAAGGTCTTCACAAGTAGAATTTCTACCTGGTGCTTTTGTTCAGATGGGTTCATAAGTATACAATAGGGATCATGCTAGCCAGTGTAACAATCCCTGCTTTCAGAGGAACAGGCTACTGTATGCTGCCCTGTTAACCCTGGAATTGTTAGTAGACAGGAGATGGAAACACGTCTTAGAAATCTAGACAGGAGCAGCACTGAAGAGTCTGCCTCTGCTGCGCAGGTACTCACAGGCAGTTTGGGGAAGTGACTGTGTGGTGAGAGTTAGGTGCTAGCAGCCAGCTAGTTACAGCAAAGGCACCTCCACTCACAATTGGTTACTAAGCTAGCTAGTAATCCCTCCTACCCTTCTAAAGTTTTTAGTCTGTTAAATGGTGTGATGCCATTGTTTTCTTGAGTTCTGTATTTTTACCTTTAGAGCCTTCAGTATTTCTGTACTTGCTTTCTGAATCACTCATGTTTTTATGAAGGAGCACATGATTTTCTTATGCTTCCATACCTTATAAGTAGTTTTAGTTCTGCTTTCTGAATTCGCAGCTGATCTTTTGTGTGTGTGTTGGCTGTTTTGGTGACTGTAACTGATGTACAGGCAGCTTGGGACAGTCCTCCTGCCTCTGGAAGGACAGTGAACAATTGGGGAAAAAAATTATACAGAGGTGTTATTTGATGACCAATAAGCATTACTCAAAAATCATTGCTCTTCATCTTATTATTCTACACTTTTGACTTTTATATTCATATAAAAAAGTTAGATGTGCTTTTCCCTTGTGTAGTATTGAAAAATTCAAATTATACAGGATTAAATATCTTCCTGTTCACTTCTGTGAGGAGATGATGTCTAAGTGTTTTAATACAGATTCAGTTTTTGGTACAATACCTTCTGGTTTTAGGTTGTGTCTTTACTAATATAAAGTAGGAGGTGTTTGTTAGCAGCTGATAATGCTGAAAGCCTAGACTGGAATTAGTAGCACAGTCTGGAGGACAACTCTGAGTACAGTCTCTTAGCTACTCTAATCTGTGCTGCTTGGAGGAACTGCTGCGGAGAGCCCCTGGGATTCTGTCAGGGAACTGCATTCCCCTGGCAAAATGACTGAATCTAGGGCTCTTTGTTTGACAGAAGTACACTTTCTTCAAGTACTTATACTTTGAAATTACAGAAGCAAAGTTCTTTCATGGCTAGTGCAGATTAAATAAAACTAGTGAGTGAGTTCCAACTGGAATAAAACTTTTTACAGATTTCTCAGTGTAAAGGAGATAGATAGATAGATAGATAGATAGATAGATAGATAGATAGATAGATAGATAGATAGATAGATACACACACCCCCTCCAGAGGATAAAAGTATATGTGTGTATGTGTGTATATATATTTTTTTTTTTAAAAAGTCACAATATATATTTCAGTATTTCTTGCTACTGATAGGCCACACACAACTCTGGGATACAGGTCAAACCTGAAATGTAAAGTTTCCCCTTTTTTTGTGTATTATACATGAACACTTGCTAGTATGAGACAAAATACAAAGTTACCAATATATATTTTGTATTACAGTATCAGGTTGAGGAGTGCAATTACCTGAAACGATTTAAAATAAATGGGCATTTTAAAATTCCTTTAGTAATTTATAAAATGAATCTTCTTTCTCTGTACAAAGCATCTCAAGCTTGATGTAGCTTGGACAGAAAACTCGCTGGGCCCCAGTTGTCTTGATACAGATGCTTTACAGAGCACTTCAAGCAAAACCTCTTCTAGAGCCCTTGGCTGTTGTTTTACAAAAATTGTTCTTTTGCACATCAGGAAGGTGGATGAGTTTACACTTGTTATATCTATGTAAGCATTTTAATTTGTATTACAAGTTAATTTTTGAAGTAAATCTCCTGATTGTCCCCACTTGCCTTACCTTATTTATTTTGGAAATCAAATCAGGTATATTCCTGGTACATTCCCACTGAAAATCCTTTGAAATGCTTGCAGTATGGATTTTAGGACCTCACCACAAACTGTTCTGCTCTATAAACTTGTTCTTATTTATCTGCACTACCTCCTAATGTAACCACTGTGATTTGTTTCACAGACCAGGGAAAAAAAAACATTTCTAATTGTATGTAGTCCTCTGATAATTTAAAATTGTATTTGTTTCACCTCAGATGTGTTTTCCATGTTGCACTCTCAGTTCCAGTTTACTGCATGACCGGATTGTATGACAGGCCTATGTCTCACTGTCTGTCACTTGCAATAGCCAGAATTCCTTTGTTACACTCAATCAACTCTCCCAAATTTTCCATCAAGGGATTTGGATTTTTGTGAGATCACTCTGGTTGGGATCTGTAGTTATTCACCTGAAACTTACAGGGTCATGTATCAAATCCATCACTAGAAAGATGCTTATTTCCATGTTTTCTGTTTACTAATGACACATATGTGGCTCGCTGGAAAAAATGGGCATACTTTCCACTGTTTTGCAAATGTCTTTGATAAGTAGTGGAAGCTGCCTCATGGAGAAGTCCACAAGTCTAATGCACTCAATCATGAGCTAGTGAGAGATCATTCTGGATAGTTAGTAAAACTTCTGGTAACTCTGATGTTACCGATTCAAGTATATCACTAGAATTTCTGTACAGACGTTGAGCTCTGTTTTATGTAGCTTTTTTTGTGATGAAGTAATAGAGCGCTTCAGGACATAGAGCAATACCTTTCCCCCTTCAAAGCTAACTGAAATTGAAGCAGGGAGCTTCAAAAGCTCTGTGAGCCAGCAAAGGGTATTTTCAGTGGAAGGCTACAAGCTCTTCTGAAATGGTCTTCTACTAGGCAGACCCTTTAAAATGTTGATTTGATGGCATTAGATGAAAGAATAAACAGTACTCTTTTTAAAAATGCACCAAATTTAGTAAAACTGTACCTGGAACAGTCACCAGATTTACTGACTACTAAAATTGCTTTTATTCTGAATTTCCTTTACTTAACAATAATCAGTAATACAGGTGAAGAGCTATTTGATTATTCTTAATGTTGTGTAAGGCAGTATCTAAGATTAGGACTGTGCTACCTTAGCTGACTGGGGAAGCTTGTTCATTGTTAGCATACATCAAATTTAAGTGAATGCTTTGCTATATAATTTCTTAGAGAAAACCATTTTATGTTCTCTATTTCTGACTTTGTGTTGAATGTTGTAGTGTCTTTTTGTTTATAGCAAACTCCTAGGCAAACTGACTGTAAACTGTGATCTCAAGAACTTAAGTCCTTTTGGAGCTAGAGTATGTTTAAAAATGTATTTTATTAATCAAACTTGGCAACTGGAATTCAACATATACAGTCAAGTAAAACATGGCTTACACTGACTTTTCTCAATTGGTTAGGCATTAGATGATGAATTTACAACAACAGGAAAGCAAAATCAATGGCACAGTAGACCTATTTCTGAATGGACCACCCAGCAAGTGTGCCACTGGTTAATGGGAATGAACATGGAGCAGTATATTACAGAGTTCACAGCTATGAACATAGATGGACAGCAGTTAATGCAGCTCGACAGTGAGAAGTTAAAGGTATGTGAATATCCCCCGGATGGATTTGTAACTGTATAAATTTCACTGCTGATTTAGACATATTTTAAACCTACAAAGTCTATTCTCCTGTTTTGTGGCTTTTTAAGGGCTAGAGTTTTGCTTTTGAAATACTTGGGAGACTATACAGTTAGATGAGAATTTAGTAATTGATTGAACAGTTAAAGACAAGCCAGTTTTAATCAGAAAAATACCAAGTATTTCTTCCTTGTTTGCATCTTGAGGAAATCATAGTTTCCCAAAGGGCCTTGATACATCTATCCCCAATCATAAGGTCATATCAAAACAAGATCCAGCCAATTCAAATGTATAGAACTGCAGGATCCAGTTTTAGAAACCCCTTTCTTCCCCATCTCCTCTTCAAATGGGAACGCTAAAATCTTATCTGGTGACGTTGTAAATGTTTTTGGGATTTACTCCTGCTGGAAAAAAACCCCTACATTTTTCTTTTGAGCCTTTTTCACCTCTGGAAGCTGCATGGTATGTATCCTTAATAGTGCTATTAAACTCTTGGGGGGGGTGTCCTTATCAGACTATATTTTGAACAGGCAAGATGTGTGAATAAAATGAGGTCATTGGTCTATTCTGGCATAAGGCAAATTATTATTAATGATCAATAGTAGGATCTGAGTGTTTTAGGGAGGAAAAAAACGTGTCTTAACTTCAGTCTCCAAAATGTATCTGCATTTTAGAACAGATGTGCAACACTAAATGTCCTGTATTTTGCCAAATATTTCCTTGGACACAGAGGAAATATCTGTTAAGCATCTGTCAAATGCCTGTCTATTTGGGGAACTTTGGATGTTGATACTTATAACTTAGTTTACACCCCGTGCCATTCAGAGTTCCATAGAGTGTGAGGGAGTGCTGTCTGTAACTTCGCATCGGGTACTGCCACCTACTGATCGAAAATCAAAGTGTACCTTTTACTTTATATACTTTCTAGTAGTACGTTCTAAAATCCTTAATGTTAAAAATTAAAGACTAGTTACTGAATATAAATTCCTCTTGTATAAAATGAGCTAGAAAATATTTTGAGACTACTACTTATTATGCTATTTTCTGGAAATTCTCACTTGTCTATGTGTTTATAAATGCAACAAGAAGCTGTCACCACACAACCAAACAAGAGTAGGCCCTTGTTTCCTTACCTTGTTACCCAGATGATCATTTACAATGCTCTTGAGGACTTAAGTTTATCAAATAAACAGACTATCATGCAGCAAAGTGATTAACGCTTTTTTAAACTGTTCACGCGCAAGCACTGTTGAGTTCTGTAGGAAAAATTAATGATGAGGTTTTTTTCTTCCTTTCCCCACCCCCCAAAGGCTTTGGGAGTTTCCAGTCAAAATGACCGATCAACAATAAAGAAAAAAATTAAGGATATTAGAAAAACACAAGAAAAACTGGAAAAGCAGAAGGAAAAAGTTCAAAAGAAGGAGAGAGAAGTTCGCAAGACTGGCAGAGTGGTAGCCACTCTTGAATCAAGCTGCTAAAGTGACCCTGTTTTGTTGTAGCGCAGACTTGCTTCATCCTGAGGAAGTTCAACAGATTTGTATATAATTGTACAATTGAGGGAGGAGGGAAAGTGCAACAGTTTAACATGGTAGGTGGTTTTTTACTTTTTAATTATGGTCCCTCCCAATTACAACCCAATAAAAAGAAATAATGTTTTCACTATTTTTATTCCTAGTTGACTCTGCCTGTACTAATAGACAATAATTTAACTTTCTGCCTTAAGTGATATTTGTGCTTTTAAGACCTCATATGCCCTTTTCATTGAAATTGATTTTGTGAAAAGTAGAATGCAGTATTAAAAATCATTCCAATATTAGTCAACCAGCATTTGATAGAGTTGAATCTGATAGAGGGACAATAGAAAAATCCTGCCAACAAATTCAGTCTGTGACAGTCTGTTTATCTGTTGCCACTAAAGATGTATAGTAAAAATTAAGTTTAAGAAAACAGTAATGTCAAATTAATTTAAACAGAAAGCATGTATTTCAAATTTATGGATTATTTTGTTTAAATTCTTGTATTTCTGGGTTTTTCATTCAAAGTTCACTGTAGTAGCACATTGTTTTGGAATTCTGTGTTGCAATTTACTGAGAGAATAACAAGAAATATTAAGTGGTTTTCACGAACTACATATACTAAGCATAATAAGAAGTTTTCTGTACACTACCCATATGGTATTGGGACAAGGTTTAAACCTATAAATAAGATCTTTTTTAACCTATTTTTCCTAAAATGATACATAGTTTTATAGATTTATGCTATGAATAAGATCAATTTGCAATACATGTATTTCTCTTTTCTACCTGCTACAAGATTTTTGTGGACCAAATTTATATATTTGCTAATTTTAAACTATACTGGTTTTCAAACTTAAAATACTGAGGGAAAATTGTAGGAAAAATTACCACTGAAGCACTGGGTTTCTGCATTGTATTTGAATGTTCGATTGTAGACTACAGATTATTTCTCTTTCTTTAAAGGAGGATTTGATTCTCAGAATAGTTTTGAACATTGATTGGTGTTTTGTATATTTACATACTATTTTCTAGAGATTCTGCAACAGTACTTCCTTTAATTAGATTATTCCAGAGACATAGACTAGTTCAAATATGAATTTCAGCATAGAATGCACTAGAACAAAACTTACATAACTCACTCACGTGGACCAAGTTCTCCTTTAAATCTATGAACTGTTTTTCATTTTAATTAAATGAAAGAATTTCACTGTTGCTGTTTCATAGTTGGTTTTCTTTGTATAAATGTTATCACAAATTTCAGCAAAAGAACTATGTGGAAATGCTTCTGCACTCTATGCATTTCCAAAATAAACAAAATCTGAAATCTTTGTAAGAATTACTTTTAAAAAGATGTTCCATTTTCACTTTTGTGCATTAAGAAACAATTCTCTGGTCAAGATTTAACCTATTTACTTTGTTTCCAGTATCTTTGAGTTTGTACTCCAAACTTACAGTCCTTGAGCCAGAAAGGAATGCTGCCTTACTGATAAGAGAAGGGAATTAGAAGTACAGAATGATCAAATGCTTAGGATCACACATGTTAATTGAACTGTGGTTTAATTCAGTCGAGGAAGCTTATTTATTGGTTAAGTGCTTTCAGCTAGAACAGAGAATACTGATACAACTATGTATAACCTTTTTCCTTTAAGCTTATGAAACTGAACATTGCACGCTGTGAAGAGTGTGTTTCTCAGGAAGGAGACTAGTGGAAATAATGGTTTCAAAGACTTGCCTGTGTGCAGAGCTGTTGTAGCTAAATGGGGGCTACAGCTGGATGGTAAACTGACCTGGCACCTGAGCATAAGAACATTGATTATCACAGACCACAGCATTTAACATCTGTCAGATGCTAAACAAGAAGGCTGGCTCTATGGAACTAGCTTAGTACCATGCCACAAAATCACCAACTGAAAATTTAATTTTTAAAATAGTTTTAATGAGTAATTGTAGTGATTCTTTCAAAAAATAAAGTTAAAACAAACAAGATTAATTTTACAGTACAAGACTGAGCTCATTTGCATACAAAACTATTAATCTCAGCATTTTGATAGCTAGTATACTGATTTTCTACAGTGATTCACTTCAGCTTAACCAGTGTGCTAGCAATGATTACAGTAATGAAACACAAAAGTTATCAAAGATCAAACTTGTAAGTAGGATTAAATGTAGTAAACCAAAATATTTACTACGTTTGTGTTTTTACTACAGTCGTTCAGGGTGGCAGGTGAGGAGACACACAAAATTACACAGCAAGTTGTTCTAATAATCAGAATTCAATCAGTAGCTAGCTGAGAGCATGAAAGGTTTTTATTTCAATAATACCATATGAAATACTTTAATAAACTTTCTAGAAAACAGACTGTGTAGTTCTCAGATGTTACTAATATCAGTTCAATTAAGTTAAACATTTAAAACTTGGCATAAAATCTAGAATGTTCGGCTTCAGAGTTGAGTTTTTAAAATCCCATGTTGTAACTTCCAGCTTTAGGTTAGTAAAAGCAATAGCTGCAAGCATTCCCTCTTAACTTTTGTACAAGCCACTTTACAGTACGTGGAAATTCTTGCATACATCCTCCTTCAGGGTTGAAGAAGAGAACACCTATAGATTCTCCTCACTTGTAGCCATGCAGATTCAAAGGTAGGCCTCCCTCAGAGTGTCACTCGTAACTGTGTATATAGCCCATTCTGTAAATCACTCCTGTTACATTAGCTTGACCAGGGTGTAAAACCTTTTTTTTTTTTTTTTTTTTTCAGAACTAGGCTAGGGAGGTAGCAGGTGATAATCTTTAATCTGACTCAGCTATAACTAGAACAGTATGACTTGAATTTCTAATACCAGCTATTCCCTTCACTTGTGGTGTCTCGCCTTCTGCTCTGTCCAGAGCTAGTAAACTAGCACAGTTCTTTCTGAGGGATTCTGCATGCCTGTGCAGAACAAAAGTCACAGCATTACATGCAATGAATTAACTGATAAAAAGGATTAGTTCTTGGTATCTTGAACATTTCAGGAGTGATGAAGTTAAGGAATGACAGGGATCAAGGTGCAACATAAATATGTATGATTTGAACAAAGTAGGCACAATAGTCATTAAAAGAAGTTGAATCTTTTATTAAAAGGACTTTGTACCTGAAATGTAATACTCATTCCACTCCCTGTCTTTCCCAGTATGTTTTGACAGTTTGCCTTGGACAGATGAAACCCATTCTGCTTACCTTATTTATGTTATAGTGTGACTTCCACTTACTGCATAAACAAGGCCAGAAACACACCACAAACAAAAAAGTCTTTTCAAAAACTGAATTCCACTTTTTTGTAAATACAAATTATCTTCTCAGGAGTATTGTCAAAGTAATAGAGATGGCCCTATTAAGGACAATTTTTTAAAATCTGTTTATTAAAGTAGTTTCCATGTACAACTGTAACCTGACATACCCGAGTCTGAGATCTTACCAGGGCTAGAACATTGATACTCCATTTTGGTATTACCTACACAAATACGAGCAAATGCAAACCAGCATACCTTTGCTGTACACAAGCCAACACTATCTGCTAATTCACAAGGATCATCTCAAGATAAGTTTTTCACATGTATTAAATATTCACATTACAACCAAAGAAATATGACTGATACCACATACCTGAGATACATTATACCAGTGGTAACAGCTAGAACTGATTTTTTTTTAATTTTTTTTTTTTTTAATCCCTACAGACTTAAGTGTGATTTCTACAGCTGCAAAAAACCTTGATGTAGGCAACGTATATCTTAACTTTGCAAAAGTAGGCTTCAGCATGCTTAAGATAAAAGAATAGGGAGTGTTGTACAGGTGCAAAGGTATAGCAGTGAGTTTTCCATTGATCGATAATATTGTATAATGGAAGAATGCTCCAGTGAGCTTTGTCAACAGTTCTATTAAAAAAATTTTGTAAGTATATAAGTTAATACTTTTCTCACCAGATGTGGTATAGATTGCATTAGTCCCAGTAAAACCTGAAATCACTGCTCCTTTGACTTAGCTACTGAAAGTGGAACAAACTAAGTGTGGCGTTCTCGCTTAAAATTTAAAAGTATGTACAATTTTGGGGTTTTTCTTGGGTTTCATGTTTGCTGAGGTTTTTTTTTTAATTCCAGAAAAGAGTAATTATATTAAATCTTCTGTTACTCCAGTTAAAATTACTTTCACACATCAAATATGGCTCAGCATCTTGGTGTGAATCAGGTCTTTTAAATTCCCTTTACAGACATACCTACTACTTACAAACAAGTTGAAGAAAAAAGCTATATACTGCGAAAAGTGGTCATGTCCTTTGGCTCACTGCTTGGCACACACCAATCATCTGCTTCGTGGTTTGCTTTATAATGTTTCCAAGCTGCTTTATTATATACAGGGAGTCGTTCAATTGATTCTGTTGATAAGGCCTGTAAGTAGAGAAGACTGTAGCTGGTCATTCCTTTTTAATCGTAGTCACAGTAACACAACAAGGAGTTCCATTATCAGGTAGATTAGAGATGCTGATAAAATGAAGTGTTACATCATACCTTTATGTAAATAACTGCATCTGTACCATAGCCTTCTAAGGAATACAGTTTCAGATCTCCTTGGAAGTACTGCGCATACAGACGTGATATGGGTAAGCCATAACCAAATCCAGCCTGATCCAGGAGAAAAAGTGTATTTTCGGTAACTGTATCTAACATCAGTGGTGTTTAACTCAATAGGTAAATAGACAACTAAGCATCATGGTTGACTGTAAGAGAAGGCGTTCAAATATTAACTATTATGCCCCCCAGAAATGGAAGAATGCATGAGTGATTGTGATTATGAGAAAACTGTTCTACCCCTTCGTCAGACAGCGCTGCTAGCAAACACCTTGTATTAGCTTCTTCAAAAAGAGATGCACTATTAGAGAAAACTGTACTGAGTCTGTCTTATGCCTCACAGAGCTGCTAATCTGAAGTCAGATACATTTCATCATCAGTATATATAAAAAAAAGTTGAAGAAGCAGTGACTTATGAATTTGTAGCTTATATTAAAATTCTATCAAGCCCTGTCAGCAGTAGCAGGACATAGCCCTGAAGTGTTAAGTATATTTTTTTTATATACTGAATTTTAATCTCCCAATGAACACACACACTTTTCTGTAAAGATCTAGTGTTTAATGAGTAGCACGATCATCTAGATGCAGAACACTATATACATTTTAAAAACCCATTTTGAATGATGCAGTGTGAAAGAATAAATTCAGGAAAGCTGTTCAGAGCTTCTCACTGAGAGCTAAGGCTTTATTTCTTGCGCATCTATTAAGTTCACATGAGACCAAAGTAGATTCTTCGTATGTCCTGTCACATCTGCATATCTTCATCCTTGCCAGGGGATGGTACAACTGACTACACAGTACAAATGAAACTATGGATTTGATCCAAAATTGTTGCTATAATTATTTTTCCTTTCATTCAGGGGCTGCAAGAAGAATGCAGAGTCCTGTCCTTACTGCAGTACATCTAGCATAGCTAAGCTTTATATTTCGTAGAGAAAAACAATCTTGAACAAGTTTAAAGAATTTTTTTGTATTTTAGGATTTTATGCAATCTTCCAGTTATTTTCAGGAAAATATTTGAATTAAGCTATAATATTCAAATGGTGTTACTCATCTATAAAATCAGTATTTCATAGCTTTGGCTAAATGGTTTCTTTTGTGACAACATATCTAAGATGACAAAGTATAAAAGATGTGCATACCAAAGGTGTAGCTCGTGATGTCTCAACACGTGGACGTGGTGCTGTTGAATACATGTAGTTGAATAGTCTGTCAATTTTCCTCATAGGAACACCTCCACCGCGATCACTCATCTGGTACAAGAAGGAACACGTAGCATTATGTCCCTGAATACATTTTTATAGAAGACAGCTTCTCTCAAACAATAATCCAGAGAAAGTTCAAGTAAAACATAATATAAAGTTGTCCCTATTAAATTATGGGTTTTCTTAAATTCTCATCTTTCAGCTACAGCAATGCCCAGAGAGATGAATCCTTCCCCTTCATCTCTTATCCAAACCATTAAATAAAATACTGCCGTAAGAAGCACTCATCATCTTTTGGAAGCAAGGAAATTCTACTTGAATTGTGCATTGCTTTTATCTTGTTCATAATTTTGTTTGAATTCATTATCTATACCTTTTAGCAATGCCAGTTTCTGTGTATTTTTATCTTTATTCCTCAGAAATACTGTTAGTTAAATACAATCTATTAAAACCTATTATTGAAGAAGTAAGTCAGAAGAGTTGTTTTACTACAGTTTAGTTATACCTATGAAAAACTCAGTGCTTGCAGCTGGTCTTTGAAATCCAACATGGATGTTGTACAGAAAAGAAATTAGTCTGCAAACTGTACTTCAAGGAGGTTTGATTTGCATGAAATACACAATGTTTATTTCCCTTTTTTCAGTTGTTTCACACTTGTATAGCTCTTTCATTGTCACATACAAAATGCTGATATTACAACTGTATAAAGACGCTGCTTCATTTTTAGTCATGGTTGCTTATAAACTAGGCAAGACATGAGCATGACAAAAGCATAGAATTCTACTGCAGAGCCTTCAGTGTGACTGCATAATGAATTTCCTCCTGATGCAGTATGGAAATTCCATAATGGTCTTGTTAGTTACATACTTCATCATCACATACAATCTACTGCTAGAACTAGATCACCAGCTAAAGTTGGTAATATGCTGCCTATGACAGAGAAAAAAACTTAATCAAAATAACCTTCAAAATAATAAAAAAGTGGGTACCTTCACAGTTAAATCCTCATTTCCCAATGTGATGTGTACGTGAATTGGAGGATAAATGCATCGATCAGCATTATGTTCCATGGTGGCTCTCATTGCATTCTGCAATTTTCAAGTACAACTTAAATCCTGTTCCTAACACTTTGTATATTATCTTAAAATATCAATTTCAGAAAGTTATTTTTATAACATATTTCAGAATCAGGACAAATATGTATGGTTTTAGAATAGTTTTTTAAAAATATTTCTTGTTTATTCAGTATCAGTATTTATATAGCTTAGTAGAATACTCAGACTTCAAATATTTTTTTTAGAACATCTGAAATCTGGTATTTTAATGTAGTTTTATTTGCCTTTATAATGCATAGTATGTGCAAAAGATCAATAAAAGTCTAGGATTGAACTGCTCGAGGAAAGCTCTATAGGACCTGTTATATATTATATCAAATTTGAAGATGTCCCCAAAATTATGTATCTTATTCTCACTTGTTTTAATAATTCATGTCTTTATACATTTTAAGATTTTTTTGACAAAGCTGTCTACTCGGGTGTCGGATGCATTCAGTGGCTAGGCAAAGGAGATACACCTTCCAAAGCTGTTCATTGTCTATGCAGTTACTGTTTGTCTAATACAATTTAGGTATCTTCCTGCAGTCAAAGCGAGAGGTTTGCATTTGCAAAAACTCACTATCTACAACTGGTTCTAAAAGTCAAGCAAGGATACATCTTTAGTGAGACTGTAAAACAATTGTGTAAGGGTAAATGCACAGACCTTGAAAAGTTCAAAAACCATGTGATAGAGATGTGAGGGCACGTACACCACTTGCATGGGCTGTCCTGGTGATTTAGCTGGAGAAAAGAGAGTCTAAATAATTAAATAGCAAACTAAGCATCTTTTATTCATTCCCATAGTAATTCAGAATGTATGTTTGTATCAGTGAGAGAATTTACAAGAGAAGAAAAATTTGAACAGAAATCTTTTGAGAAGTTATGTTAATCAAAAGTCATACTCAAGAATTTCAAATGTGCTTGCTGCTTTAATCTTAAAACCCACTGTGGCTTCACTGATTAGGGCGTATAATAGTTGTTTTCTAATACCTGTGAGGAGGTTATCATGAAGATTCAGTCAGGCTCTTCAGGTGGCAAGAAAACAAGAAACAGTGAGTGTAAGATGAAGTAACAGAGGTTCAGAATGGGTAAACAGAAAAACTTTTTCACCATGACAGTTAAACATTGAAACAGGTTGCCCTGGGATGTTATGCAGTCATCATCCTTGGAGGATCTGTAAGACTAAATGGATAAAACCCTGAGCAACCTGGTCTGACTGCATTGCTATCCCTGCTTTGAGCAAGAGGTCAGGCTAAAAACTTCCTGAGGTCCCTCCCAACCTGAATTATCTTATGATCCTATAATGCACCAAATAGTAACTACAGCACAGCCTGTTCTTGGCTTCGTTTAGAAATTAGCTGACTTCTAACCACAAACCTTAACAAGAATTATACAGATAATTCTGTCTATAAAACTGGTATAGTTTTCAAACTTTTTTTAGAGAATAAATTCTAGAAAATATATCATGGGAGCACATTCATTGTATCAAAAATTAAGGAAAGGTTGCTCAGAAAATTCTGGTAGCTCTTAAGTTCTTTCAGTTAAACAAATCAGTGATTTCTCACCAGACTCTGTTAGTGCCCAGTGTTTTATGAACATAAATGTTGAAGATTAGTGATGTCAAAAGATCTAGAACAAATTAAAGCAAAAATAAAAGAGGGAGGAGAAAAAGAACAAACACCCACACTTTGAAATATGTCAGGTTCCTGTCCTCAAGTTAATCGCTTCCCTTCATGCCTTTACCCCCAGATCCCATGCCTAAGGTTTAAATAATGGTCTCAGTTGTCAGCAAGGAATGTGCATTTGGCCTGGATCAGGTGTAACTCACCTTCACAATTCACTGAGCAAAAGGTCACTACTTTTATAAAAACAGAACTGTTTGTTCTGGCTTCTGGAGCACATACACCATTAAACGACCCCTCAGTACAGAGAATTAGGTAGCATGACTGACAGTTTCCTACAACTGTTTTTAGTATGCTCCAGAAATGGAAAGACGTAAACCCTTTAACCTAGATACAGAATGACAGGTTTTGTACAGTAGGAAGAAAAGATCTGGAACATGTAGTCAAGGCCACACTTTCTTTGCCTTTAGCTTCATAGGCCAAGTTACTGTGGTTGCACTTTGGCTTCTGCAGTTACTTGTAGAAGCAATTTTTATTTCTTGTTTTTGTAGGTCTGTCTGAACTTGGCATTTAGTATCTTGAAAAGTACTATAGTGAGAAGTGTCAGAAAGGCTCTTTAGCATTCAGCAGGACTAGGAGGATAATAGCTGACCTCTGAGTTCATAGCAACACAGTTGTAAACTGCTTTTTTCAAGTCACAGCCAAAGGGTTGAAGTTTTGCCAGGACTTGTAGTTGTAATTAGATATAGTACACTCAAGAACATGATAGCTAAATAAGCAAGATAAATTAGAATGGAATGTTTAGTATAAATCTTAAGTGTCACAGAAAATGCAGAGTGAGATGGAACAGTATAGGGTGATGACATACAAGAAAACTTAGGGAGGGAAGGAGGCTGCTAAAATCTGTTCTATCAACAGCTGTAGTGTCAAAAACTTGTACTGATTTCAGTTTTCTAATTAAAGGGAAAAATAGGGAAGGGTTTCTGCCAGATCTAAAAAAACCAACCCAGAACTGTTTATGACAGTAGATACAGAGAACACATTAACTGTATGAAAAGCATGAGAATGTTTCACCACCAGCTACTTTAGAAGCCATCGCTATGTTCAAGAGTGCCTCATCGCATATTCACTTACCATTCAACTCTTCAAGGATGAGTTCTGGAGAGCTCATGTAATATAAATCACAAAGTCTCTTAGCATTTTCATAGCCATCTATAACAAAACCACAGAAAGTTACATTTCCCCCTCCGCTTTCTTTTTTTGCCTTTACAGTTTGCCAAAAAGAAAAACAAAATTTGAAAACACTTGGGAGAGTGTCAGGGAGATTTAGTATGCTCTGACAAAAACTGGGTTTATAGGAAAAAGTGACACTTTCCAGGTAGGAAAGAGGAGTATACAAATATCTAGATGTGTATTGGCTCTCATGTAAGTTTTCAGGATTCTTGTTCTTATCTGCTGTATTTACCTCTAATGACTTCAAGAACATTGCAGCTAGGATCAATGCTTCCAATGTGTTTCGGATGAGCTGGATTAATTTTCCCACCAAACAGTAAAGCTGCCAAAAAAGAAAATATTATTTAATACCTCATTTTATAATTTTAGTTTGTGTCTTCAGTTTTGCTAGAGAGAATTTTATAGGCAATCTGTAATTCCAATTAAGAATTGTATTAAGACTGAGTTTATAAACAGCAAGGCAAATAGTGTACTCCTTAGAAGCATGAAAGTACATTTGAAGCACTTAAAAATGAAAGGAAAATATACTGATATAGTGCAGGTATTATTTCCCCTCCTTTCAACAATGGCACTTACAGTGTTGATTAAGGAGCATTCTAATTGAAATGCGACTCATGTAGAAACGGTCTAAAAAATACTGCACATTCTGTGAGGTCACTGGATCAATGCCAAAGCTCTCCTTGTACTCTATTACTCCTTGAGCCATTGTAGGAATTACATCATTGTGTCGATTGCGGATTTTTATCACAGTATCTGTAAAGCTAAAATTAATACATTGTTAGTATTTCACTTTAATACTCTGGCAAACAGATTATCTGCCTACAAAAACAAAGACCACTATGTACAGAAGTATGACAGGTGTGCCTACAGCAGTAAGAAAACAGGTCAGTCTTTACAGTGTATTTCACATGACTACCATTGAACAATCAGTAGTCAACCATTATTGATTATTTATAAAATTATTGTTTATTTATTATCTTGATTACTGCCAAGAAAAAGAGAAAACTCTGCCAACCATTTTCATGCAGTTCATCCCATGCCTGTCAAATGGCAGTTATGGTCAATCAAACTGACTCTACAGGTGAAAAGTTCCATATGTAAGTTCCAACCTTGTGAGTAAGGAACTGGTAAACATTTGGTCAAGTTTAACATATTCATAGTTTCAGCGTAACAAAAAAAGCCCTGACCAGAATGTTGCAGCATAAAAGTGCTTTGTTTCACATTTTAATATACCCTCTTTTTAGGGACAGGGGGTGACATTACTGCAATTCTTATGTAAAGACTGGAGATAGCTGTAATTTTTCTTAAGATATCGTTTTCTTGCCTGTCCTAGTACATAATGCTAACATATGTGACAGCAAATCCTTACCTGTGAATAGCCCCTGAATCTTCTGAGCTTTTGTCCTTAAAGTCAAGGATCTCCTGAAGACTTTGGACATACCTTTAAACAAAAGAAACATGACAAAGACCAGTTCTAACATGCTTCCTCAGATCCCTTTAGTTAACAATTTATGGTCTTCAAAGTTGCTGCCTGTTTCCAAATCAATGTATTTAATATATCCCATTGACCTATGCTCTGTGAATTTTGTTAGGTCCTTTTGAATCCATTCATGATGTTTTCTTCCAAAATTTCCAGAGCACTGAATTCCACGATTTAATTAGAATTCATAAAACATCTTCCTTGTGTTTTAAACCCAGTAGGTGATCATTTATTTGCAACCCCAGCGAGTTCCTGTTATTAGAAAATCTTCCCAGCTTGTTCATGATTTAAGTATTTCTGCCATCTCTTCCTTAGATGCGTATTTTCCAAGCTGAAGAATTTGATTTGGTTTCTCCTCACGTAGAAATTGTTCCAACCCTCTGATTATCCCTCTTGGTCTTTTCTGTTCAGGATGGAGTGACTAGAACTGCATGCAATTTAGAGGAATAATGGGCTAACACAGTGGTACAATTATATTCCTCCCCATTTGTTACTTAGTTCCTAACACTATTTGCCTTCTTGCCCATCAACTGACATATTCAAAAGAATATCCCCAGTAACATCAAAATTTCATTTTTCAAGCAAGCATACAGGGAGGGGAGGTTCCTCTCTGTGCTCTACTTTGCATTTGTCCAAGTGGAATTCATTTTCCATTTGATCAATGTCATTTATTATAATAAAAATTTAAGCATTCATGTTTCATTAAGAGCCTTCAACTTCATTGATAGCTCTTTTTATATTCAGTCATCTAATCAATCCCACTTACTCACTAGATTTTCTGTTCTCTTAACTTTAAAAGCCTTCCCAGATCGCCATGTGCCTTTAGCAGTTGCCAAGCAATCTCTTTGTTTTGCTTTTATCTTACAAAAATTCATGCTTATTTGTAAGTTCCTTACTTGAAAGCAACTTTTATTTTTCAGAGGATGTCTTTTTATTTTAATAGCCTCATATTCTTTGTGCTGGTTTACATGTTTTAGTTTTGGGAGCTGCTTCTTTCTTTGTATTTTCTACACCATTACTCTCAACCTGCAATAACCTGTCTTTTAAATGGTTTCTACTATCTTTTGCAAGCATTTTATGCCTGCTTCTGTTGGTTTCTTCAACTAGCTTCCTCATTTTAGGTAAATCCCCTATTAAACATTGTTCTGGTGTACTTTTGTTTTTACTGAACTCTCATCCATGACTATCTGCAATACTTAATGACTTTTAATTTCTTTGTGGGTTCTCCAATTGCTCCTAAAGGTTTTTTTCCGATTTAGTTTCTGATTTAGGTCATATTGGCATTTTTACACAGTCTAAATAAGTGATGTTCATGTAACAAGCACATGAAATATCCTTTTTGTAGAAGAGAATGATTTCCCCCAACTTGTATATATGCAGGAGGTCATCCATAAAGGTATGAAATGACACTGTTCTTACCAACTCTGCACCAGCTGAACTGAAGGTGTTCTTAGGAGGTTGTCTGGAAGCAGACTTATTTCCTTCATTATGTTTGCCAATCTCACAGGCAACTCTTGTCGCAGAAACATAAATGAAGTCTTTTCACAAGCATTTTCAGATCCTAAGACCAAAATAAATATATGACATCAAAATAAAGTCAGTACTTATGGTAGAGAACTACAGACTCTTACCTTCTGCGTAGTATGTCTGTGGTTTGGTTTTAAAGTTGACTCAGCCAGTCTGGTAAGCCAATGCTTCTTTCATGGCAGCAGCCCATTTATATTTCAAAATGTAAACTCATATTGAAACCTACCAGCCCTGCTGCAGTAACCATAATCTTCAATATAGAAAGAGTAACTAGTGCAATAGTTGCAGAGCCATACTGTTAAACTTTAAATATCACTTCTATCCATGTAAATTGTTAATTTTACTTGCGGCAAACATTGACTGTAACCAGCACTGATCAAAGACTATGTCATTCTGAGCCTGCCAGAAGGGTAAATGAAACCAGCACTAGAAACTATTAATGGGAAGGATGCTCGAGAAGGTATCATGGTCCCATACACCCTCCCTGCCTGATCGCTGATCTTGCTGAATTATCATAACTCATACTGGAACACTTCCAGAAAATTAATATTTCTCTCATTTGCAGCTAGATCTGTTGCAGTTTAAATTCACTGTCCTACAGGAACAGAAGACAGATGAGTGAATTCACATGAATGCCGAGAGAAACGGAAGTAGGACAGCTACTGTGCTTAGTCATTACGATAGTAGTTTTCCCATAAATTTACTTTTAAAATTTTTTACATTTTTAAAAGCTTAAGGCTAAATTAATGCACCTGTTAACTGACCTGTCCTTTTATAAGGACAGATGTCATCTGTGTGGGTGGCAATTAAATGTGCTTAAGATCAGGACCTGAATTTACTCCCACAATGCTTATTTTACTAAGGGAGAAAGGAGGGTGTATAGTGGGGAAGATGCTAAGAAATGCTGTACTTTATTCTCAGCCAGACTTCTTTCTGGACTTCGAGAATATCATGTAAACAGCTTTTGAACTTACTAACCTGTTCATCTGCTGCAGTGAAGTACATACCTCAGGCTTGGTGTTTCACAACAGGTAACTCCTATAACTTAACTCTGGTGTTTCTGCTCAGTTCACTCCTTCCATTTGGCAAGGGGGATTCAGGGAAGAAGATTAAAGAAAGGGATATAGAAAAAAGGAAGCTGGGAGTGTCTTCAAGAGGAAAAATCCTCAGCAAATTGAAATGGAGTAGTTTAATGCGTCCACACCCAGATATATCATAAAGTACACCGATGACAGAATGTCGCTTAACTTAATAATAAAGTGAATAGCTTACAAGAAATTTCTCCCCAGTGACACCAGTATTATGCATTGTCTACATATGACCTCTGCCCAGAAATCTTTCATTCTTCTCCCTAGTCAGATTACATTTCAGGCATGACTTACCGGCCTTTCCCTTTTCTCAGGTAAAATTCCATGAACAAGTCAGATTGAAGGTATCAGAATGTAAAGATAATCTTCAAATGCCTCATATACTCAGCAAATGAAATTCCAGAAAGTAATTTTGTATCTGGAAACCATATCTTTGCAATCCTGGCTCAAATACAGGAGACAGCGTAGGGTAAGCAAGACTTCAGTGAATGGGCAGATGACTTTGTTTCCCCTGTGCAGCTATGGTCTACCTAGGCAAACAATGGGTAAGACTCCTACAGAAAATACCGTGTGCTTACAGCCCAAGATATGACTGATGTATGTGATCCAGACCTAAATTTGCTTACGGAATATTTCTTTTGTTAGATTGAAACCTGGAGGAACTATAAGCAGACTTTTTTTTTTTTTTAAAGTTAACATTACCAGATTTTCCGATTTCCTCTTTGACTGCTCTCGTTAGCAAAAGGAGCCAAAAGAAGTCCCCGGTAAAAACACCATCACATTGTAACCGGCTACAAAATGTCTTACAGACAAGTACAGTCTCACTGTTGCTCTCTTTTTTTTGGCCTCTTACTAGTTTTTACTATCTGTTATTAAATCCCTAAACAAAAGAGAAAAAAATAAATTTCCAGATTATCTTTACCTGATGTTCAGGTACTAATAGCAAAAGAGTAGCCTAACTTTCAACATGAGGAAATACTGTGCCTTGAACATAACCACTGATTTTAAAGTAAGCATTATTTTATCAGCATGTTAGTGGTAAAATAATACAGGTCAAAGTGAACTCTGAATTGCAAGATTCTTTCCTTAAAAGTATAGTAGCGATAGTATATATTCTGGTGGGGTTCCTGTACAAAACTGGAGTTTTAAATATTGGATATATTTTATTGCAATGTATGAAACACTGAATAAATGGATGAAGTGACAATAGATAGTTAAGACAAACTTTTCTTCTCAAGTCTTCCTACTTATACAAAGTCTGAGATTCTAGGATTAGTTCTCAGTTATGTTTTACTTACAAAAACATAAAAAGCAATACAACTATTAAGTAGTTAAATATTTATATACAACATTTATGTAAACATTTATCACATGAGTGCCTTGTGTATAAAAACAGACTGAATTATAGTTAAGGCTCCATCCTCAGGCTTTGAAAAGGTTTTTGAGTGTGACTTACAAGACCTTTCTCCGTGTAGTCTTTGCTTTGATGCAGAACAGAACTATTCATGTGATCCTTTCTGTTTCCAAGCAGTCAAACCTGGGAGAACTACAAATGGTTTTAGTGCAGAGTATAAGACTGAGTATCCTGTTACCGATTTACTCATTGTCAGCGTTAGATTCCTAGTCCTCCAGGACAGCTCTTGGCATTTGCATCCTGCTCCTTCTCTCACACATCTAAAACAACATTCGGGTAAGGTGTTTTTGTAGGGCACTGACGTGACTGAGAAGTGATGATTGTTTCAGCTGTCGGCACCAGCTGAGGTTAAACGTTTCTCCTGTGTGCTATACCTTAAAAGGCTGCATGCTGCTAGCTTGCAAAAGCTTAACAAATCTCACCTGAGTCACTGCTCTAACAATTACCATTTGTCCTAACTGCCCCCACTCTCTCCTCGGCGCTGCAGGTTTTGCAGAAAACAACAAACTACTTTTGTGATGCCAAAAACTCCAGCTGAATGTCGACCTTTCCTCGTCTCCGGAGAAGGAGCCAACTGGGCTCCCTTCTGGAAGGAAGCAGAGTCTTTTTCTGCCAAAAAGGCCCGTATTAAGAAGTGATAAGCAACAGCAGGAGCACGCGGCAGCACTAACACGAGCTGCAGGGGAAGGCGGCGGGGGGGGCAGCTTGTGGCGGCG